TGCAGACTTTCTAGGTTGTGCAGGCATGCATGACACCATAGTAATGCCATTCAAATCCTACTACCCCACCAGCCATGCGGCGCTAGAGGCCAAGGAAAGAATAATCGAGTTGCATAGATCTGGTGTTCGTGAGCACGATTGCTGGATATCACGGATGTCAATTGGCTCTAAATCAATGTTATGCAGGCTGTGTAAATTTTAAAGATTAATCACGTTTTGTGCCACGTAATAATGGGAGTTGGGTACGGATCCTAGACATTTCAGAAATAACACTTGTAATGGAATAGCTTACGAAAGGCATGAAAACCAAGTACGTCAATATAAGTAAACATCTTAAATTTCCGGGTAGACATGCAGCTAGAAGATTGCGTCTGTGATGGCATCCAGATAGTAAATCAAAGGACGAGCACCCGATTTGAGCGCAGGGCCTTCCATTCAAATAGGAAGTACCCAAGACCCGCTGTGGAGGGCCCCCGAACGATCGAACGTGCTCGAGCAGCTTGCAGGTGGGGCGCTGACAGAAGCGAAAGCCCCCGCGAGTGACAGGAAATTGGAAGGGCCCTAAATCGACGTAGAGGGTCTATGAGCATATCGCTAGTGTGTTGGTAGGTCAACATAGACCAATGTGAAAGGCCCATGAGAAGCCGAGAGTGCCCCGGCATGTTTACCTGTGGGGCCCCCGGCTATAGCGTATAGGGCCTTCCAGGGAATGTGAAGAATCCGTGGAGGGCCCCTGATCGACAGCATTGTCTCACCATGCTAGCAGATAGGGCTCAACAACAGCGTGGGACCCGCCAAGAAAATGCAAAAAAAAAATCAATGACAGCGTGGAAGGCTCCCTAACAATCGGATTGTCCCTGCTAGTGTACATATAGAGCCCCTGGCAACAGCGAAGGACCTCTGTACAATGCAATGAGGCTCAAAATCTCGGCAATCACCACGCTCTCAATCAGCAAAGAATTGCCTTGTTTGCTTGTGCACTTCTCTCTTTCATTTCCGACTGCTCGTGATCACCTGGCGGGTCAGAGACGCCCAGGTTTGTTGCGTTTTGTGCTTAAAAACTGTGTCTATTTGGCTGGCTAAGGACCACTATGGAGCCCATCGTGGGACATCTTCGAGGCGTGACCTCGTGACCCATTCCCTTCCCCTCTGAATCCGCCGCACTGCTCCTGGTGTTGTAATTCGTACATTTAGCACGATTTACAACATTTTGAGCTTGAACAAGATTTAGGGCTTACTGTATGGCGTAATTTCTGGTGCTCATTTTG